GTTGTTTTGATTTGAACGGCTTGCCAGATTTCTTTTCCTTTTGAAAAGTTGGAGGTGTAGAACCGTTACTGCTGTGTGGTAACTGCGATCCAACTTTTCCAATCAGCCTTGCCACAGGGGTCCAAGGCTGCAGGATTTCGGGGGAGGCAGTCAGGAGGGGTGCTGCGTGCGCATGCGCGCTGCCTGCGCATCTCGGAGGCAAGGCTCAGAGATGTGAGTGAGCCTGCAGCAAAGCAAGTGCAGTGTCCTTGGTCAGTTCCGCTCCACACCCTACAGATGGTACACTGTCTGTCCAGTGTGTGTGTGTACACACGGGTGTGTAACTTGTCACAAATACAAAAATAAAGCAAGTGACATTTATAAAGGATAATTGACAATTAATATGCCAATGAAAGTTTCATTTGCACACCTGTCTTAATTATGCGTAAACTTAGAAGGAATTCAGTCAGTTCACATTAAGAGCGATGTACTAGCTGTTAAATCTCAAACCCTGAATAAATGGTTGGGGTGCCTATTGAACATTTCAAAGTGGAGCTGTCTGCCAACTTCTCCCATTACAGGGTATGGCTGGCACACCCTGACCCCTACCCTAAGCTACTTCGGCCCAGACTAGGTTGCCTTTCCCCCAACTGCCTTTTCTTATATAATCCAGCCATTTTGGTTCCCTGGCCCTTTTGGTCTATCCATTACCTTACTGACCAGTCTCTTGGCTCAGGTCACCCACCCCAGTCTGTGGCCCCTGTCCCCTCATCTCCTCACATGGCCCAGCTCAGTCTGGCCATGTTCAGTCTGGACTCTCCAGACGTCTCTGTCTCTGCCCCTGCCTATATTCTCACTCATTGCTGCAATAAACTTTCTCCTCCACCGCACCTAGGAGCAATGCTCTAAGCAGGCCCCTCAGTTAGCTCTTTGTCCCGGGTTTGGACTTAACGCTGACAGTAACAATCGGCTCTTTATTCCTTTCATAAATGAGAAGATACTAACACCGTGCTCTGTTCATTCACAGCAGGATTATATCTGGAGAATAAAAATGGCTCAAAGTTCCCACCGTCATGGGACAACAGATTGTTAGTACACTGTGAAGAAACAAGGGAGGTGTACAGTATAGCCATGTATTCCCGAATGATGGACACATTCTGGGAAACGCAGTCTGGGAAATGCATTCTGGGAAGCACATTCTGAGGCTACTTTGTCACTGTATGAACATCTTAGAGTGTATAAGATGGTCACTATGGTAATCAGGTGACAAGATCCCACAGGGCCACATTGTTAACTGTGTAGTCCATCTGTGATGGAAGCGTCTTTATGAAGTGTATACATTATAGCCAACCTTTCCGGTTTGCCTGAGATTAGGGGATTTTCTTTTTTCCTTTTTTTCTCCTTTTTTTCTTTTTTCCCTTCCTTCCTACCTTCATTCCTTTTTTTCTTTCTTCCTTTTGTCTTTTTTTTTGATACAGGGTTTCTCTGTGTAGCTTTGGAGCCTGTCCTGGAACTCACTCGGTAGACTAGGCTGGCCTCAAACTCACAGAGGTCTGCCTGCCTCTGCCTCCTGAGTGCTGGGATTAAAGGTGTGCGCCACCACCACCTAGCTATAGGGGATTTTCTAAACTGGGGAATTTTTAGTGTTAAAGTTGAGACAATCCAGAGAAAACAAGTATATATGTACTATCTGGGGGCGGGGGCAGAATTGGGAAAAGGTTAGGGGAGGACTTGTTGTGGGGGGTGTAGTATAATTGTGAGTGGGTTCCTAGCTTGGGACAGGCCTCATTGATGACAGACTTAAAAGGAGGAATGGGGAGACACATTGATAAATAAGGTGGAAGACTGATTGAAGATGATTCCTGGCGCCAATTGAAGGTTTCAACATGTTCACACACATACGTATAGATATAGACATGGGTGCACACACACACACACACACACACACACACGAAAATGGAAAGATAAAATGTCCTTTTCAAAAGACTTGAAGACATGATCCAGGCAGAACCCTGGAAAAAAAGTGCATCGTACAGAAAGAATAGCAGAAGCAGGGGTCGTGAGCCAGGAGCAGGTCTGAATTGTTCAAGGAACTTCAAAGATGGCAGAGGGGCTGAAAGGAAACGTGAGAGAAACAAGATGAGAGACACTTAGACATCTGGGCATGCAGCTCCTGGGGTTGTGGTGGGAATGGTGAGCTGTCGAGCAAATGGCTCATGAGGAGGAAAGGGGGGTGCTGTGTGAAATGTGAAGATGTTCTTTCATGTGGAGGGACTGACCTTGAACAAGGACATCACATTTCAACCATGGCAACAGGAAAGAAGGCTGAGCACAGAGTTTGGGTCCCAGGGAGAGAGGGAGAGGGAGAGGGAGAGGGAGAGGGAGAGGGAGAGGGAGAGGGAGAGAGAGAGAGAGAGAGAGAGAACGGACAAGGGAGATTGAATAGAAATACCACACTGGAGGCAGGAGGGGTTGCCCACTGTGGTGATTGATGTCTTAACTTCAGTCATGGTTAAAGGTATAACCTCTGACCTCAGTGGCATTACCTTGTCCACTGTCTCTTCTGAACTTGGGGGCACCACTGGCAAATCCTCACTCTCCCCAACCGGACATTTCCCTCAGCCTGGATTGCTGGGGAAGTTAGGGTCACTTCAGGGTCAGGTCTCTATGACGGCCAGAAGGAGTGTGGGTTGGGACCTCTTGTCCCTCAACGGTCATCTCCTTCACAGCCAAGTTTACTCTGTTTTATAAACTGCCTCACTTTGATAAATGTCCTTGCTTTATAAACTCCAGACTGAAAATAGTTGGGACAATAGCACCCCCTAGGGGACACACGGATTTTAAACTCTGTTAATGGTCAGCAGGATCCACAAGACAAATGTAGTGTATGAATGCCTGGGAACCAGGGCAGAAAGGACAGCGCTTTGTCTATCTCTCAAGTACTGAAAATCTTTAGATACAAGGATGTGAATAAAGAAGGTTAAAAAAAAAAGTTCTATTTTACTTGTGGAGCAAGTTAGGAAACGGGAAGAAAAGCTAGAGGTCTTACATTAATTATCAGTAATTTCAGTCCATTTTTTTCCTAAGTAAAATTTAAAATGTCAGATTAATTTGTTGACACTCAATTTGAGACATTTGAATTTTTGTTTTTGTTTTTAGAAGGAAAATCTCATCAGAAACTTGAGTCATTTTGTGATTATTATTGGAAACTGAATTGAGAGACTTTGATAGTTTTTATTTTACGTTTTCTTCTGAAATAAATGTCAACTAAATAAGTTATTTCTTAGCATTATTATTATTTTAGAGTTTCCTCCCTCATTTCCACAGGCATCCCCCTCATCCTCTAACTCAGCGTGTATATTATGTAGAGCTGAGCGGGAGAGCAGGGGCACCGCACACAGCTGAGCAAGGCCTGGGGTTGCTACAGATAAACATCGAGGCGGGCCTTATGGTGCGCAGCTGAACAAGGAGACAGGATTAGCTGCCCTCAGTAGGAGCAGCTCCTGTAGGGAAGCAGGCTTCAGGCTGTAAATATTCAGGCGGAGAATGTGATGGCGGAGGTTTTCTGCACGCACTGTCAGCATCCGCACTTGGACCAGAAAGGAAGGCTCTGCCGTTTCCTTCTGACCATGGCCACGGGTTTTCCCATCTCCCCACAGTGATCCTTCGGGGATCAGAAAGTAGAAGTGATTCTGTTGACCAAGGATGCTCTCATACTGCCCGGCATGCTTGTTGAACCTGAGTACTAGAAATCAAACTTTGCGTTTGGATCAACGTGCTTCTGCTGAGAAAGCCCCCACACGGTAGTCAGAGTGAACCGCCATAAACGCCCTTCCCGTGTCGGATTAACACCAAGGCTCCCTTCCTTCACAGGTCCTCAGTCATGTTCCATGTTATGAAGCACAGTAACTACATCTCCAGGTTTGGCAGCAAGCGTGGGCTGCAGTGCATTGGAATGCATGAGAACGGCATCATTTTCAACAACAACCCAGACCTGTGGAAGACAGTTCGCCCCTTCTTTATGAAAGGTAAATGGGAATACGCTGCATTCTTTTCTGAGATCTATGAATGTATTACTTTTTTTTTTTAAAAAAATTATCATTTAAACTTTGCTGTCACATAATTTTGAAATAATACTGATAAGCTTCTTATACCTTTGCCTATGCACCAAACACCGTCCTAGACACTTGACATTGTAATTCTACAGCAATGTCATATGGTGAAATGTCATATTTTACCTGTATTTTATAGGCGAGAAAGCTTTAAGTTTCAAACAGGTTAAATTACTTGCCCAAGATTCCAACATTAGTAAATGCTAGCCCCCAGAATGCAACCCCAGAGTCTATGATTGTGGCCACAACAAACTGAAGAGACGAACCTGCCAACTTAGGGTCATTTCAATTAAGAATTTAGTGTTTTAGCTCAATGTTTCATCTAAACATGACTAAATAATGCATTGGCAGACCTGCTGTCTGTCAGGCCAGAGGCTTTAAGAGAGAACAATAAATGAGAATCTTAACACAGGGAAAGACTCCGTGTGTTGACTCATGCAGCCTCTAAGTCTAACGGCTTAAGAAATGAAGTTTGAGATTCACACCAGCAGAGCAAGTCAGAGGTGAGCAGAGACTCAATTCCAAGCCTTCTCTCTGGCTCTTACCCCTTACTATATCCTTCTGAAAACAAAGTGGTTGAGGACCACACAAAGCCAGTTTTTGACACTAAATCAAGCATCAGGAAAGATAGCCTTGCCTTGGCAATTTTGTCAGAGATGGCATCCGGAGCTACATTAATTTTCGGTATGACCATGTGCCATCAAAATTCTTCTTTCCATGCAGGTTCTAGGTCTTTAAGCCCCAACCACACTGCTATAGACACAGCACGCTTGCTTCCTCTGGCTACTGTAAGATACTAGTCCGCTTGGGGTGAACGACATGTGTGTTGTAAAATTCTGCAAGTCAGAAGTCTGTCATGGTCTCAGCAGGGATGGCAAGACGGTGGATAGGAGGCATCCTTGATCTTACCTCTTCCAGCTCCTGGAGCCGCACCTTCATTCCTTGTCTGGTGGGACAGGTCCCGCCCTCCTTGCTCTGCTCTTCTCTGCCCCACCTTCTCTTATGACCTCAGATGGGAAAGTTCCCTCACTAATGACTCTTGGGATTCATTTGGGCTTATCACGGCGACACACCACAATCTCCTCTTCTTGAGGACACACACGAATCATTTTGGGATGAGGACAGTAGACAGCTTTGGAGACGTTTTGAGTGTGTGTAACCATGTTGGAACAGATCACTCTCCCTGTGCCTTACAAGACTGACTCTGGATTAGTGGATAAGTGCATGTCTCAGGGTTATAGTGGGCTCATATCCTAACACTGCCACTTGCTATTCATATGAGGGCTTCCGTCAAATCGTCTAGTGTCTGTGTGCTTTATTTCTCTATCCGCAGAAGTTAATGAGTACTAGAACCGGGCCTTGAGCTGTTGTAAAGAACAAATAAAACATGTCTGACTTCGTAGGAACATACATTGTATTTTACTTTGTCGTTTGACTCAGATCATAGATACCAATAAAACAATGATAAGCAAGACTTGATTCTGCCCTTGAGGACCGCGGAAGGCTGGGTAAGGTGGGCCTATATATCACCAAGTACTTTCTAGGTGAGGTTGCACCAGACTGCAGAGACTAGACACAGAGGTCACCTAAAGTCACAAAGGGGCCAGGAAAGACAGTCCAGGGCCGTGGGTGTTTATAATGAACTTTGAATGAATGAAGTAAACTCTAACTAACAAAGTATACCAAAGGAAGACACTGTAGGAACAAAGAATGGTATATTTGACAGCAGAGAAAGAGAGATCATCATGTCATGTCCAGGAACCCTCCGTGGATGAACACGAGGCCCAGGGAAAGCAGCTCTAAGTCACTTAAGACCCTTCATATTAAGCCAAGGACTCCAACAAATCTCAAGAGTTACAATGATTCACTAAATATTTTAGGAAAATGATGTGAACATCTACATGTATGTTAGAAAAATTCCTTTGGTCTCAGACAAAAGTTTAACAAGAACAAAGCACAGCTACGAACAATGAAATGGGGGGGCTGTTGTAGTGGCCAGGGGCAGATGGAGGAGAGGTTACGGGGACAAGGACTGTTAAGAGAAGAACATTCTAACGGGACTTGGGGATTTGTCCGCACGTCTTTGTAAATATTTTAGATTAGCCCTGTATACGTAAGATCGGACTTTTTAATAAAATGTTATAAAATTAGACCCCAATTAAATTCCAAAAATAGGAAGCTAATTGCTTACTGAAAAGCACACTGAAGTGCCTGACATTTTTATAATTAATGAGAGTCCTAAGTGTCTTGATGACTCTCCTTTGGGAGTTGGAGTCCTTTGGTTTTCCAGGGAAAGTATAAAAATTGGGACACATTTTGGAGTCTAAGTCAGTAACGTTATGAAGTGTTAAGCTATTGGGGTGTAGAGAAGCAGGTGAGCACAGCTGTGGAAAAGTTTGTCCTGGGAGAAGGGAGAGAGGTCAGTAGGAGTGTGGGGAAGTTGTGTGCTGGAACTGCCAGAGGAACTATTTGTTGGTAAAGTTTGGTTACTTGTTGAATCTCTTTTTGACCAAGGTAAGAGGACTTTTTTTTTTTTTTTAAGAAAAAGACAAGAGTACTTTTAAGTACATTTAAACATTAAATTATATCTACATACACCAATGGCCATAACCAATCATATTTCATTCTGTTGGTCTGTGAAACATGGCTTCGAGTTCTTGGTCATAGAGGCAAATCCTGCACGCACCTGGAAGGAAGCCATGAGTGACATGTGGATCCGCCCCTTTCATACGAAGAGCTGAGTCATTAAGGGATGATTTGCCCTGTCTTGAATATGATCATTACCCAGAGAACAGAGGACACCAGGGAGGGCTTTCCTACCACTTGGAGGGAGGCTCCTTCTTCTGGCTTCTTGAACACCTCTGACGATCTTTAGTGTCCTTAGGCTGGTCCCTCAGTTCTCCACTGCTCCCTTTCTCTCCCTTCCCTTTCTTCTCCCCATCCCTCACTCCCAACACACACTATTTACCACACTCTTTCTTGACAAGATCTTACTCTGTAGCCTCTCCTGGCCTGAAACTCACTATGGGGCCTAAGCAGGTCTTGAACTTCTAAGAACCACAGGCCCTAGAGAGCTGGGATTATTGGTATGAGCCACCATGCTGGCAGCTTCCTTTCTTCTGATATATGTTTCTCCTTTATAACAGAATGTTCTGATTTGAGAGAATTATTGCCTTCAAGGTACACTCAAAATTTCCATGCCATTTTAAAACCTTTTTCAGCAAGTCTGAATAACAAAAAACATAAAAAATAGAGACTAATCCTGAAGAAAACTTAAAGAAATTCTACCATGATGGGCTACTGGAGTCAGCGTGGTAGGATGGTCAGAAGCAGAGCAAGGGGAGGGTAAAGCCAAGTCACTCTATCTGTTTTCATTCATTCATTCATTCATTCACTCATTCATCCACCCATCTGCTCATTTGCCCATCTATACACGCATTCATTTACTTGACAAGTCCGTGTTGAGGGCCCTCGTGCAGGACTGATTGAAGTACAATGCTAGTCAATAGTTGTCACCCTCTTTTAGGAGTTGCCCAGTCACCGAAGCCTGCAAAGCAAACGAGGAATTGCTCTGCCTGCCATTACTGTGTAAAATAAACCTGGAAGTAATCAGAAGAGAGGCTAAGAGTAAGAGTAGGGCATGCATTCATTGTTTCTGAGACGGACATTGCACATCTCCACTCACTAAGAGGCGCCTTAGGTGAACCGGTTAAGGACCAGGTTCCCTGGTTCTGCACTGTTATCCTTCCCCAAGCTAAAATGTAAGAGAAATGTGACCCTGACCTAATCCAAACCATCATCTCAAGGGAGACGTGTACAGTAAGTGTAGAAAGCACTGTTGGTTATTGTACCCAGAAAAATTGCTATTTCATCCGTATCTCACAAGTTTAAACTAGGGTTTAGAGACAGGCTTGAATTTGAATCATTAAGTAATATTAGCTCATTTTTAGTCAAAAAGGTAAGTGCTTCTTACAGAAAACACAAGAAGGTATAGAGAAGATTATGGAAATTCCCACCCTATTATTGAGTGTAAAGTTGCTCCTGCCATAATAAGGCAGGAACAGCCTGCTTGTGTGCGTCCCGGTGTTTATGACGGCCCAACCTCTGTGCTTCTCAGCTCTGACAGGCCCCGGCCTCGTTCGAATGGTGGAAGTGTGTGCAGAGTCCATCAAGCAGCATTTGGACAGGCTGGACGACGTCACCGACAACTCTGGCTGCGTGGATGTGCTGGCCCTCATGCGGCACATCATGCTGGACACCTCGAACAAGCTCTTCCTGGGGATTCCCCTGAATGGTACTGGAGTTTGAATTGTCATGCATTCTGCCAGCTTCTAAACAGGGCACATGGGGACAGCACATTGGAGCAAAGTGCAGCTTTGCACACTGCTTTTGGTTAAGAAGGCATTTCTAAGTAGTCCTTAGGCGACTTTCCCTCCAGTGTTTCTGTGTGTTCATTTGCAGGTCATAAACTTTCAAAAGAGAGGTCAACCTCCACCTCTGTGTATCTCCTGTGTTGCTCTAGGACATAGTATTCTATTGTAGGTTAACATTATCAGTTAGTGTGGTCATTAACATAGCCTGGGAAATTAGATGTATTTAACCATTTCTGAATAAATGACTTTTTTTTTTTTTTTGAGACAGGGTTTCTTTGTAGCTTTGAAGCCTGTCCTGGAACTTGTTCTTGTAGACCAAGTTGACCTCAAACTCACAGAGATCCACCTACCTCTGCCTCCCAAGTGCTGGGATTAAAGGCTTGCACCTCCACTGCCCGGCTTAACTATTTCTAACCATTCTTTTGGGCATGATATATATGCATGTGACTGTTTAATTATACATGTACATACTCCCTCTTTTAAAGCTACTCTATATGAGAACTTGGCTGCATATGACAAAGTGAGGTGACAATGCTGCTGGTAATGACAGAAATGATGACAACAGATGCCAGTAATTTAGTATCGACTATATCCCAAAAAATATGAAAACACTTTATGTAGATGCCTGCCACTTAATATTGATACCAACCTGATATCTCACCTTCTCCACTAAGCTGGAAAAGATGAATGTTTTAAAATGGACACATTACTACCACCACCCAGAAGCAAACAGCTATTTGCATAAATCCCATTCTGCTGCTGACATTAGTATGGGGCTTTCCAAATTAATTTATAACCATGTTCATGGGTGCGTCCATTCACTCAGCCAGTATGTGTTGGCTGCTGCTCAAGGTTCTAGGTCCTGGGGAGAGAGCCAGGAAGAGGGGTCCAGTTTTCACCTTGCAGTGGAGGTGTATGGGCAGTAAAACAAGTAAATACCAGATTAGGAATTGGACAATAATCAGTGCATGAGGCAAAAACAAGGCAGGGTGAAGGGGCAGAGATTGAGGTGGGGTAGCAGTGTTCTCGTGGTTGAGTGGTCAGGAAAGATCTCTTCACAGAGGACATCCACAGCCTTGTGCAGAGCTGAAAGAAAGACAGCTAAGCAGGGCAATGATGCTGATGCCTTGGCATTTGTGGAAACCCTTCTGGGCCACCCATGTGTTAGCTGACTTACCACATCTGAGCAAGATTAGCTCCGAACCCTCCCTTTCTCCCACCAGCTCTTCCGGCCGGGAGGAGACTGTCTTCACTGGTGGACTATTCTTCGCGAGCGCTGTAGACACTTTACCTAACTATGCATTTACTTTGGAAAGGTTTGGTGCCACCTTTTGCCTGGTCTGCTTCCAGGCTTCCTGCATACATTTCTGCTAAGGTTACTTAGAGACATGCTGATCCCGCCTGGGTTTCCCCAAGCCTGAATTATCAGGAAGGGTTGTGTCAGGGAGCTGTAGACCTCTTCCTTAATCAAGGACTGGGTCCAGACTCTGATGCCACAGCATCTGTATAACCTGACTGGGTTAGTTTGTTTCCTTTATGCTGGGTATTTGTTAGACTCCCAAGCTAATCTGCTGACCACACCAGCTGCACCTATAGTTTCTATCCACTGTAACTTTC